ATAAGGAGCATAACTGGCCGGCATCTCGCAGTGTTCAAGAGAAAACTTGACAAACGCCTCTAAAGGAATAACTGATCAACCAGGCTGTGATTCATATGTCAGACATGCAAGCAGCTGAATCCAACAGCCTGGTTGACTGGATGACCAACCGGGAGGCCTAATTGGAGACCGGGCTGTTGATCCCCAGAAGTTACACAAGGTAGACACAAGGTAAGGTAGGAAGGTGGCCTTTTCTTATCTCCGGCAGATATAATACCGTTCAGTCAGATTTTGCTGGATTCCTCCCTGGTCATATTGAAGTTACCTTGATTGACCTTGTGGATGCTGCCACTAAGGAGGTCATTCATGCTTGTAACATTTCCTGTTAAGGGATTCCATATTCAGATTTCTACCCAATCATTCATGTGGCAATTTATGGTCATTGGGGATGTTGTTAAAGGTAATAAACTACATTCTCTTAAAAGTGACCTTTCCTCTCGGCCTAACTCCTGCTACTGTAATAGGCAGTGGGAAGCGGCTTTGGCTTGGCTGCGTATTAGTAACACCTGCCTAATTCATGGTCACTTAATGGACCAATGTCATTCCATTTTGTCCAAACCTCATTGTCCCTTTCACTTATGCACCCTTGTAAATTGCCACAAATTTTTGGCTGATAGTCTGGCTGTCTTAATGTTCCTTGAGGTTAGTCTGGCTGTCTTAATGTTCCTTGAGGTTAGTCTGGCTGTCTTCATGTTCCTTGAGGTTAGTCTGGCTGTCTTAATGTTCCTTGAGGTTAGTCTGTTTGTCTTAATGTTCCTTGAGGTTAGTCTGGCTGTCTTAATGTTCCTTGAGGTTAGTCTGGCTGTCTTCATGTTCCTTGAGGTTAGTCTGGCTGTCTTCATGTTCCTTGAGGTTAGTCTGGCTGTCTTAATGTTCCTTGAGGTTAGTCTGGCTGTCTTAATATTCCTTGAGGTTAGTCTGGCTGTCTTAATGTTCCTTGAGGTTAGTCTGGCTGTCTTCATGTTCCTTGAGGTTAGTCTGGCTGTCTTAATGTTCCTTGAGGTTAGTCTGGCTGTCTTAATGTTCCTTGAGGTTAGTCTGGCTGTCTTAATGTTCCTTGAGGTTAGTCTGGCTGTCTTCATGTTCCTTGAGGTTGTTGGTCCCTTTATTAGACTCCTGGGTGAAAATGATACCTTTAATACCATTTGCCTTATGTCCTTCGGCTCTCGTATTGGCATTTTGTGTGATATTTAGTACCTCTTGAATATCTAGCAACACACAAAGTGCTACATAGTCTTCCCAACATGGTGCCTTCTTTTGATAGTGTACTTAATCCTTCTGGCTCTTGCTGTTGGCTGTAGCAGTGGGGAGCTTCAAGCTCTTTGGTACAAGGGAATTTTGTTCCTATGGACTGAGGGATTGTTGTCTGTTCTTGGTTGCCTCAGTTCTTGGTTGATGCCTTCATTTTTGGTTAAGAATTAGCTTCAACCTTCCAGAGGGGATCTTTTGCTCCTTGATGCTTTATTCTCCAGCTGGGGAAGTATTGTACCGCCCTGTACTCTCCCACTCATGGTGGGTGGAAGTATTGTACCGTCCTGTACTCTCCCACTCATGGTGGGTGGAAGTATTGTACCGTCCTGTACTCTCCCACTCACGGTGGGTGGAAGTATTGTACCGTCCTGTACTCTCCCACTCATGGTGGGTGGAAGTATTGTACCGCCCTGTACTCTCCCACTCATGGTGGGTGGAAGTATTGTACCGTCCTGTACTCTCCCACTCACGGTGGGTGGAAGTATTGTACCGTCCTGTACTCTCCCACTCATGGTGGGTGGAAGTATTGTACCGTCCTGTACTCTCCCACTCACGGTGGGTGGAAGTATTGTACCGTCCTGTACTCTCCCACTCATGGTGGGTGGAAGTATTGTACCGTCCTGTACTCTCCCACTCATGGTGGGTGGAAGTATTGTACCGTCCTGTACTCTCCCACTCATGGTGGGTGGAAGTATTGTACCGTCCTGTACTCTCCCACTCATGGTGGGTGGAAGTATTGTACCGTCCTGTACTCTCCCACTCATGGTGGGTGGAAGTATTGTACCGTCCTGTACTCTCCCACTCACGGTGGGTGGAAGTATTGTACCGTCCTGTACTCTCCCACTCATGGTGGGTGGAAGTATTGTACCGTCCTGTACTCTCCCACTCATGGTGGGTGGAAGTATTGTACCGTCCTGTACTCTCCCACTCATGGTGGGTGGAAGTATTGTACCGTCCTGTACTCTCCCACTCACGGTGGGTGGAAGTATTGTACCGTCCTGTACTCTCCCACTCATGGTGGGTGGAAGTATTGTACCATCCTGTACTCTCCCACTCATGGTGGGTGGAAGTATTGTACCGTCCTGTACTCTCCCACTCATGGTGGGTGGAAGTATTGTACCGTCCTGTACTCTCCCACTCACGGTGGGTGGAAGTATTGTACCGTCCTGTACTCTCCCACTCATGGTGGGTGGAAGTATTGTACCGTCCTGTACTCTCCCACTCATGGTGGGTGGAAATATCATACCATCCTGTACTCTCCCACTCACGTGTGGAAGTTTTCTGGATTTCCTTGAAGCAGTCATATGTTTTGTTGTGCTTCTCTTCCCCCTCTCATATCCTAAGCTTCTCTCTCCTCTCTCAACTCCAAGCTTCTCTCAACTTGTAAGGATGGTTCTGGTCCTAAATTCTGGATGGGTCTTTGAAGTGTGTGGTGCAATTAGCACTAAGGCTTGGGGAGCAGTTAAAGGCCTGGCAGAAAAGGACATTCCATTACATTCAATATGGTTTTTGGAGATATGATCGATGTAATGTCCAGTTATTTATTGAAATTTCTTTTCCGTATTTTGGTTTCTCTTTTTTGGAATAAAAAAAATGCATGTTTATAGCTTGTAAATGTCAAAATTTGTCGCATTACAGATGGAGCCATTCACCCATAAGGGCCAGTTTAATGGAGCCTGGGACTGTGTGGGATTCTTTACCGTGTCCATCTGGGTGAGCCTCCTGGCAACTGCACTGATGGTCGTCGTTCTCTCCATCGGCCTCTACATGCTCAGCGACATCAAGACCATGGATCGCTTTGATGACCCCAAGGGCACCCCCATTATTGTCCCAACAAGTGAATAGAGCTGCAGCGTCGTGTTGCCTTTGAATGCTTCTCATTGATCAGCTAGAATGCATTCAGCCAAAGTGATTTGTTTGTTAAAAGTGAAACTTATAAATGCAAGTATTGTTGGGTTTAGTCTCTGAAATTCTGGGTTTTATGTACTACATTAAAATGGAATTTGGTGTACAGTTAAATGGTTACAGAATTTAGTATTCCATTAGCTTATATTCATATGTAGATCTTGGCAAAAGCATTTCAGGAATATTATAATGTTCAATACAAATACAGATTATTTGTTTTCATGTATTTGGTTACAGTTGGTGAGCATAGTTGTGTGGGATTAAGAACAGAATTACACATTTTCAATGTTTTGGTGTTACTAATATGTAATATTTGTGGAACTCGAACACCTTTTTTGTAATTCTATATCTACTGAATTTTTAATACTGTTTAATTACTCTTTTTTTTTTAATCATTGAATTTCAAGAATAAAAAGGAATTCTGATAGCAGCTGCTTTCTGAAGTTCTCAAATCTTTGATAGAATCACTTAGAACGTATTAGTGAGGACTTTTAAATTGTAACAAAAGTAACGGGGCATGAGAAACAATGTAGACACAAGGTCTGGAGTAATATTTGCATCATTTACCACTCCTTGTATGTTAGTCTCGTGCTGCTGTCACCGAGGTTATGTTGCTGCGTAGTGAGTGGCACTGTCACTGATGCTGTGTATAGTGTATGTGGCACTGTCACTCTTGCTGTGTAGTGAGTGTGGCACTGTCACTCTTGCTGCGTAGTGAGTGTGGCACTGTCACTCTTGCTGCGTAGTGAGTGTGGCACTGTCACTCTTGCTGCGTAGTGAGTGTGGCACTGTCACTCTTGCTGCGTAGTGAGTGTGGCACTGTCACTCTTGCTGCGTAGTGAGTGTGGCACTGTCACTTGCGGTGTATTGTGTATGTGGCACTGTTACTGCTGCTGTGTATAGTGTATGTGGCACTGTTACTGCTGCTGGCTAGTGCATGTGGCACTTACTGCTGCTGTGTATTGTGCATGTGGCACTGTTACTGCTGCTGGCTAGTGCATGTGGCACTGTTACTGCTGCTGGCTAGTGCTTGTGGCACTGTTACTGCTGCTGGCTAGTGCATGTGGCACTGTCACTGCTGCTGGCTAGTGCATGTGGCACTGTCACTGATGCTGTGTATTGTGTATGTGGCACTGTTACTGCTGCTGGCTAGTGCATGTGGCACTGTTACTGCTGCTGGCTAGTGCATGTGGCACTGTTACTGCTGCTGGCTAGTGCATGTGGCACTGTTACTGCTGCTGGCTAGTGCATGTGGCACTGTTACTGCTGCTGGCTAGTGCATGTGGCACTGTTACTGCTGCTGGCTAGTGCATGTGGCACTGTCACTGCTGCTGGCTAGTGCATGTGGCACTGTCACTGCTGCTGGCTAGTGTATGTGGCACTGTCACTGCTGCTGGGTATAGTGTATGTGGCACAGTTACTGCTGCTGGGTATAGTGTATGTCGCACTGTCACTGCTGCTGCTGTGTATAGTGTATGTGGCACTGTTACTGCTGCTGTGTATAGTGTATATGGCACTGTTACTGCTGTGTATAGTGCATGTGGCAGTCACTGCTGCTGTGTATAGTGCATGTGGCACTCACTGCTGCTGGCTAGTGCATGTGGCACTGTTACTGCTGCTGGCTAGTGCATGTGGCACTGTTACTGCTGCTGGCTAGTGCATGTGGCACTGTTACTGCTGCTGGCTAGTGCATGTGGCACTGTCACTGCTGCTGGCTAGTGTATGTGGCACTGTCACTGATGCTGTGTATAGTGTATGTGGCACTGTTACTGCTGCTGTGTATAGTGTATGTGGCACTGTTACTGCTGCTGCTGTGTATAGTGTATGTGGCACTGTTACTGCTGCTGTGTATAGTGTATGTGGCACTGTTACTGCTGCTGTGTATAGTGTATATGGCACTGTTACTGCTGTGTATAGTGCATGTGGCAGTCACTGCTGCTGTGTATAGTGTATGTGGCACTCACTGCTGCTGTGTATAGTGTATGTGGCACTGATGCTGCTGTGTATAGTGCATGTGGCAGTCACTGCTGCTGTGTATAGTGTATGTGGCACTCACTGCTGCTGTGTATAGTGCATGTAGCACTCACTGCTGCTGTGTATAGTGCATGTGGCACTCACTGCTGTAGTGCATGTGACACTCACTGCTGCTGGCTAGTGCATGTGGCACTCACTGCTGCTGTGTATAGTGTATGTAGCACTGTTACTGCTGCTGGCTAGTGCATGTGGCACTCACTGCTGCTGGCTAGTGCATGTGGCACTCACTGCTGCTGTGTATAGTGCATGTGGCACTCACTGCTGCTGTGTATAGTGCATGTGGCACTCACTGCTGCTGTGTATAGTGCATGTGGCACTCACTGCTGCTGTGTATAGTGCATGTGGCACTCACTGCTGCTGTGTATAGTGCATGTGGCACTCACTGCTGCTGTGTATAGTGCATGTGGCACTCACTGCTGTAGTGCATGTGACACTCACTGCTGCTGTGTATAGTGCATGTGGCACTCACTGCTGCTGTGTATAGTGCATGTGGCACTCACTGCTGTAGTGCATGTGACACTCACTGCTGCTGTGTATAGTGCATGTGGCACTCACTGCTGCTGTGTATAGTGCATGTGGCACTCACTGCTGCTGTGTATAGTGCATGTGGCACTCACTGCTGCTGTGTATAGTGCATGTGACACTCACTGCTGTAGTGCATGTGACACTCACTGCTGCTGTGTATAGTGCATGTGGCACTCACTGCTGCTGTGTATAGTGCATGTGGCACTCACTGCTGCTGTGTATAGTGTATGTAGCACTGTTACTGCTGCTGGCTAGTGCATGTGGCACTCACTGCTGCTGGCTAGTGCATGTAGCACTCACTGCTGCTGTGTATAGTGCATGTGGCACTCACTGCTGCTGTGTATAGTGCATGTGACACTCACTGCTGTAGTGCATGTGACACTCACTGCTGCTGTGTATAGTGCATGTGGCACTCACTGCTGCTGTGTATAGTGCATGTGGCACTCACTGCTGCTGTGTATAGTGTATGTAGCACTATTACTGCTGCTGGCTAGTGCATGTAGCACTCACTGCTGCTGTGTATAGTGCATGTGGCACTCACTGCTGCTGTGTATAGTGCATGTGACACTCACTGCTGTAGTGCATGTGGCACTCACTGCTGCTGTGTATAGTGTATGTAGCACTATTACTGCTGCTGTGTATAGTGCATGTGGCACTCACTGCTGCTGTGTATAGTGCATGTGGCACTCACTGCTGCTGTGTATAGTGCATGTGGCACTCACTGCTGTAGTGCATGTGACACTCACTGCTGCTGGCTAGTGCATGTGACACTCACTGCTGCTGTGTGTAGTGTATGTGGCACTGTTACTGCTGCTGGCTAGTGCATGTGGCACTTACTGCTGCTGTGTATAGTGCATGTGGCACTCACTGCTGCTGTGTATAGTGCATGTGGCACTCACTGCTGTAGTGCATGTGACACTCACTGCTGCTGGCTAGTGCATGTGGCACTCACTGCTGCTGTGTATAGTGTATGTGGCACTGTTACTGCTGCTGGCTAGTGCATGTGGCACTCACTGCTGCTGTGTATAGTGCATGTGGCACTCACTGCTGCTGTGTATAGTGCATGTGGCACTCACTGCTGCTGTGTATAGTGCATGTGGCACTGTTACTGCTGCTGGCTAGTGCATGTGGCACTCACTGCTGCTGTGTATAGTGTATGTGGCACTCACTGCTGCTGTGTATAGTGCATGCGGCACTCACTGCTGCTGTGTATAGTGCATGTGGCACTCACTGCTGCTGGCTAGTGCATGTGGCACTCACTGCTGCTGTGTATAGTGCATGTGGCACTCACTGCTGCTGGCTAGTGCATGTGGCACTGTTACTGCTGCTGGCTAGTGCATGTGGCACTGTTACTGCTGCTGGCTAGTGCATGTGGCACTCACTGCTGCTGGCTAGTGCATGTGGCACTCACTGCTGCTGGCTAGTGCATGTGGCACTGTTACTGCTGCTGGCTAGTGCATGTGGCACTGTTACTGCTGCTGGCTAGTGCATGTGGCACTCACTGCTGCTGGCTAGTGCATGTGGCACTCACTGCTGCTGTGTATAGTGCATGTGGCACTCACTGCTGCTGGCTAGTGCATGTGGCACTCACTGCTGCTGGCTAGTGCATGTGGCACTGCTGCTGTGTATAGTGCTCCACTATACACAGTCAGTCAGTCCAGTAACTCAAATGATTATTATTTATATCAAAGTAGTAAGTACTTGAGGACTCACACTTTTGTGATAGTAATGTATATTTAAATGTGGATATTGTAAAAGTAAATGTTGATATATCTTCACAGTTCTTGTGTTATTTATATAATATATATATATATATATTATAATTTTACCAGTTTTCATACTGGTATACATGGCAACAAAAATTAATATAATTTTTATTGTTAAGCTTACCAGAATTAAAGCATTGTGTGTAGGGTCTTGTACCAGAATACTTGCACAAAGGTTGTGGAAGGGAGAACATAAGGTTAATAGTAAGAAAAAAGTGGACTGAATACAAATGTAATACAGTAGTACATGGATTGTAGTTCTTTAGAGGAAGACATTTTGCCCCCATTCCTGCATGATACATTTCCTGCAAGACAATTTAGCTTTTTGGATGTAGTCAACTGGTAGCAAGGGTGGAGAGAGACGCCCCACGAGAGCCTCGTGTGGGCGTCTCTCTTCACGTGTCCAGCTCTATCCTTGTATACAGTGCATGACACGGTAATTTATGTAAATAGTATAGTGGTAGTCTGTCCTTAGTTTGAGGTGTTGACAAAACACTTCATCATTTACCCTTACACTCTCTGAACATTCCAGATATTTGTTTTGGTTAGTATCAGCATCTTGCTGTGTATTATATTAATTTATGTATAATATGTACAGTTATGTTTAAAATAAAAGGTGTTATGGAAAAACAAATGTTCTTTAATTAAATCATACTTTAATGTGATACTGTCCACTAAACTATACGTGAGCAGTACCAGGGGTTTCAGTATTGGTAGAATTTCCACTGATACTTTGAAGCTGTATATGTTTGAATATTAGGACCGGTTACAAATGTGCGCACGTAAATAACACCACGTGAGAGGAGAATGCATAGTAGGGAGTGTAAATTGCAATTATGCTTTTCAACAGAGCTAATGTGAGCAAGGCTATTGCACCGAGAGGAGGGCTACTATACAATGAGTGAGGCTACAACATAGCAAGGCTACTACACAAATTGAAGTTCACTTTCGCAAACAGAGTGGTAGACGGTTGGAACAAGTTAGGTGAGAAGGTGGTGGAGGCCAAGACCATCAGTAGTTTCAGAGCGTTATATGACAAAGAGTGCTGGGAAGACGGGACACCACGAGCGTAGCTCTCATCCTGTAACTACACTTAGGTAATTACACAGCAAGACTACTACACAGCAAGGCTACTACACACTTAGGCTACTGCACCCTTAGGCTACTACACACTTAGGCTACTACACACTTAGGCTACTACACACTTAGGCTACTACACACTTAGGCTACTACACAGTGACGCTACTACACAGCAAGGCTACTACACACTTAGGCTACTGCACACTTAGGCTACTACACACTTAGGCTACTACACACTTAGGCTACTACACACTTAGGCTACTACACACTTAGGCTACTACACACTTAGGCTACTGCACACTTAGGCTACTACACACTTAGGCTACTACACACTTAGGCTACTACACACTTAGGCTACTACACAGTGACGCTACTACACAGCAAGGCTACTACACACTTAGGCTACTGCACACTTAGGCTACTACACACTTAGGCTACTACACACTTAGGCTACTACACACTTAGGCTACTACACAGTGATGCTACTACACAGTGACGCTACTACACAGTGAGGCTACTACACAGTGACGCTACTACACAGTATGGCTACTACACAGTAAGGCTACTACACAGTGACGCTGCTACACAGGCTACTACACAGGCTCCTACACAGTGAGGCTACTACACAGGCTAATACACAGTGAGGCTACTACACAGCCTCCTACACAGTAAGGCTACTACACAGGCTACTATGCAGTTAGACTAGTACACAGTAAGGCTACTACACAGTAAGGCTACTACACAGGCTACTATGCAGTTAGGCTACTACACAGGCTACTATGCAGTTAGGCTACTACACAGTAAGGCTACTACACAGTGAGGCTACTACACAGTAAAGCTACTACACAGGCTACTACACAGTGAGGCTACTACACAGGCTACTACACAGTTAGGCTACTACACAGTGAGGCTACTACACAGGCTACTACACAGGCTACTACACAGTAAGGCTACAACACAGTAAGGCTACAACACAGGCTACTACACAGTAGGGCTACAACACAGTAAGCCTACAACACAGTAAGGCTACTACACAGTAAGGCTACTACACAGTAAGGCTAGATATAGCCAGAGATCCCCATTACAATGATAATGCTAAGAAAAAACTGAGCTCTGTGCTACTCTCAGGGGGAAACATGAGAAGCAAAAAATGGCATCACAGATCAGTCTGCTACCTGGAAGAACTTCACCTGCTTGAGCAAGCCCGTGAGCTCCTGCCTGTAGAGAGGTTACCTCCCTGGGAGGATGACTCAGGCAGGATCATCATCAATGAAATGGCAATGAAAAAATCCCACATGTTACCAGAAGAAATGAGGCACAAGTATCTCAAGGAAATTTATAAAGAAGCCGGAGATGAACTAGATCAAATCTACACTGATGGGTCATCTAATCCTGTCAATGGAAGGGCTGGTGCAGCATACACGGTAATCAAGGATAATACTTTCCAACGCAGAAATGAAGAAAAAGCACGTATTGAGAACTATGCCTCTTCAACGCAAGCAGAACTAACTGCCATTGTTATGGCGTTAAGGTTTCTTGAACGGAACACTAATGGTGCAGTGATTTGCACCGATTCAAAAGCAGCACTGCAAAGCCTAAGTAAAAATCGGGCAGAAAATCTTGCAATAGTCGCTGAAATTAAGAGAGCTGTGAGAGTACTTACCAATCAGGGAAGAGTCATCAAGTTTCTGTGGATCCCCTCCCATGTTGGAATATGTGGGAATGAATGAGCAGATGTGCTGGCTGCTGAAGGCGCTGTAGGAGACCATATTGAATACTTCATACCCAAGACTCAACTACAAATTAGAGGTATTATCAGGCAACATCACCGTGACAAGGTAACTGAGGAAAGGAGGATAGAAGCACAAACCAGTGAATCTGCACGATGGTACAACATGGTTGCAGCTGGCAATCCCAGTCATTATGGCCGAAGAGGAGGAGGACGAGGGAGAGAATCAGTAATAGCGAGAATCCGTCTTGGATACAAATATCCTAGGAGATATGGAATGGAAACAACAGTTGATCAGCGAAGTTGCAGAATCTGTGGTGAGAGTGACGGACACCGCCTTGACCACTATCTACGTGAATGTGAACACCTGAGAGAAATCAGAATTATGTGTAGAATAATGAACCCCACGTTGTTTGAGTTAGGAAAACACTATTTGTCAAATATTGATACTGTTCTTAAAAAAATTTCCCCATTTTGCACCCACAAGATAACGTAAGCTTTTAAGGATTGATAGATGTTAATCTTCTTGTTTGAGGAGCTGTTCACTTGAGACAGTTAAGCAAGTCCCAGGTGTGTCTGGATACTAATGACAGGATGAACAACCTAGCGGGTTTTCTTCCTATTGGGGAGAGTTGTACCTGCTGCTATGGCGGTGTGTCCACTCACAAGATGAGTGGCGCTGCCCAATAAACTCGCTCCTCGGGGCAAAATTTAAAAAAAAAAAATTTTTTTTAGTAAGGCTACTACACAGTAAGGCTACTACACAGTAAGGCTACTACACAGTAAGGCTACTACACAGTAAGGCTACTTCACAGTGAGGCTACTACACAGTAAGGCTACTACACAGCAAGGCTACTACACAGTAAGGCTACTACACAGGCTACTACACAGTAAGGCTACTACACAGTAAGGCTACTTCATAGTGAGGCTACTACACAGTAAGGCTACTACACAGCAAGGCTACTACACAGGCTACTACACAGTAAGGCTACAACACAGTGAGGCTACGACACAGTGAGGCAACTACACAGTAAGGTTACAACACAGTGAGGCTACAACACAGTGAGGCTACTACACAGTAAGGCTAAAACACAGTAAGGCTACAACACAATGAGGCTACTACACAGTGAGCGAGGCTACTACACAGTGAGCGAGGCTACTACACAGTGAGCGAGGCTACTACACAGTGAGCGAGGCTACTACACAGTGAGCGAGGCTACTACACAGTGAGCGAGGCTACTACACAGTGAGCGAGGCTACTACACAGGGAGTGAGGCTACTACACAGGGAGGCTACTACACAGTAAGGCTACTACAGAATGAGTCTACTACACAATGAGGCTACTGCACAGTGAGGCTACTACAGTGAGCAAGGCTACTACACAGTGAGCGAGGCTACTACACAGTGAGTGTGGCTAATACACAGTGAGTGAGGCTACTAAACAGTGAGTGAGGCTACAACACAGGGAGTGAGGCTACTACACAATAAGGCTACTACACAGTGAGTGAGGCTACTACACAGTGAGTGAGGCTACTACACAGGGAGGCAACTACACAGTGAGTGAGGCTACTACACAGGGAGGCTACTACACAGTGAGTGAGGCTACTACTCTGTGAGTGAGGCTGCTACGCAGTGAGGAAGACTACTACACAGTGAGAGAGGCTACTATACAGTGAGGCTACTACACAGTGAGAGAAGCTACTAAACAGTGAGCGAGGCTACTACACAGTGAGTGAGACTACTATTCAGTGAGGCTACTACCCAGTAAGTGAGGCTGCTATACAGTGAGTGAGGCTACTACACAGTGAGCGAGGCTAGTAAACTAAGCGAGGCTTCTACACAGTCAGCGAGGCTACTACACAGTGAGCAAGGCTAATACACTGTGAGCAAGGCTGCTACACAGTGAGCAGGGCTCATACACAGTGAGTAAGGCAACTACACAGTGTGCAAGGCTATTGCACAGTGCGTGAGGCTAATACGTAGTGAGTGAGGCTACTACACAGTGAGAAAGGCTACAACACAGTGAGTGAGGCTACTACACAGTGATTGATGCTACTACACAGTGAGTGAGGCTAATACACTGTCAGCAAGGCTACTACACAGTCAGGGAGGCTACTGCACAGTGAGTGGGGCTACTGCACAGTAAACGAGGCTACAATGCAGTAAGCGAAGCTTCTACACAGTGAATGAGGCTACTACACAGTGAGTGAGGCTGCTGCATAGGGAGTGAGGCTACTACTCAGTGCGTGAGGCTACTACACAGAGAGCGAGGATACGACTCAATAAGTGAGGCTGCTACACAGTGAGTGGGGCTACTACACCTTGAGCTAGACTACTACACAGTGAGCAAGGCTACTGTACAGTGAGTGAGGCTACTACACAGTGAGCAAGGCTACTACACAGTGAGCGTGGCTACTACACTGTGAGTGAGGCTGCTACACAGTGAGGAAGACTACTACACAGGGAGAGAGGCTACTATTCAGTGAGGCTACTACACAGTGAGAGAAGCTACTAAACAGTGAACGAGGCTACTACACAGTGAGCGAGGCTACTACACTGTGAGCATGGCTGCTAAAAAGTGAGCGAGGCTACTACACAGTGAACGAGGCCACTACACAGTGAACGAGGCTACTACACAGTGCGCGAGGCTACTACACAGTGAGGCTTCTACACAGTGAGCAAGGCTACTACACCGTGAACGAGGCTACTACACAGTGCGCGAGGCTACTACACAGTGAGGCTTCTACACAGTGAGCAAGGCTACTACACCGTGAACGAGGCTACTACACAGTGAGCGAGGTTACTACAAAGTGAGCAAGGCTACT